GCAGACGGACTTTTATTTTTGTGCGAACTTTAATCGTGTACAAGAAATTTGCAATTCTGTAAAGCCAATTAAAAGATATCCCTAATTAAAAAATGTCGGTAAAACAGACTCCAGCATCACCTTAATTCCCCCGGCTGGTTTGCGTACGCCACTCACGTGGATGTGCCAGCTGCGCGCCGCGACGAAGTGATCCACATCGACGAAGGACGCCAGCAGGAAGCAGGAGAGCACGCTGTTCAGATTGCGCGCGATGGACTTGCGCGAGAGGACGACGATCAATGTCCACGTGAGGCCACCCACCGTCGCGTGCGTCGCGTTGTCAAACACCGCGCGCGCCGACTCGCTCTTGCCGTACCTCAGCCCGAAGTCGCCAAGAATCGAGCAGGCGCCGATCGCGCACGTCAGGAGCGCGCGCGACCAAAGCTCGTGCCACATCGCGCGCGGTTTCCTTTATCTCTCCTCTCGCAAGGTCGACGAGGCTGTCGTGCGACGGATCTGCAATGAAATCGCGGTGTATACCGCGTCCCGTGGTTAATCCTCGGTGCGCCGACGACTGTAAACCGAACGCTCACTGACAACGGCCCGCCATCTTGGCTGTGCGCGGTGCACGGTGCGCGCGGGTCGGCCGGCGCAAGACCGCGAACGCTCGGCGTGTTTGAAACACAATCGTACGTCAACTTTGTAGTCTTTTAATTGAGTTTGAATTGAGTTCTTTCATAATGGACGGACAGATGAATCTTACGATCAGAACAATTTTATTATTACGAATAGAGGATTACCTTATTTTTTAAATCTTTGCCCGTTTGAATGAATCAGAATTATGAGTCAGAGAATCGATTTCAGTTTCTAATGCAAACTCTTTATCTCTTGTGTTGAATCAACGATTGATAAGATAACATTTATTTCTAGACTAGATTATTTCTAGATTTATTTCCAGCTTTGTATGAAATGTTAAAGTGGGCCTGAGCAGAATGGCTGAACTGAAAATAAAATTGCAAACAAGACATAAATTTCCGACAAATTTCTAATCAAGTACATTTAACGATCCACACGCATATGTACCACCCATTGCTTACACGTTAAATAACCCAATAAACACAAGTACGTCCTATGTACGTACAATAACATCCATGCCGGATATTGTGTACATATAAGCAACCACCAACTCAGCTGCGCAGTGTTTTGCCGCTGAATCGCGCTGATTGGCTTACCGCCTAACACCTACCTCCCCACCTCGCCCCCCACCCTACCCCCCCGTTACTCCTGTCGAGTGGTGGAAGGGAGCCATCTAAGAATATAAATACCTCGGAAAGGCCAAGTTGTCTCACTCTCTACTTGGCACTCTTGGCAGCCGCACGGACCACGAGCACCATAACTAGAAGAAGAAGAAGAAGCACGGATCACGAGCAATGGAGTTCTTTAGAAGGATGATTGCATACTTTATGGGAGATGAAAAAGTGGACATCATTATATAAGAAGCTGCCTATAGAAATTTCTGCCATTGTATTTGGCATGTTGGACGACCAATCTCTTCAGACTGTTTCAATGGTGTCGCATACATGGAGAACTGTATATACGACTGAACGGAGACGCAGGCAGTTGCGCGAGAAGAAATCGAAATTAACACAGCATCAATGTGCGAAATACAATGTAAGTCGAATTCCGACATTTAAAATAAATGAACGAATCGGCAGCGTTATTAAGGAAGACCAGGATCTGCCTCGCGGATCTTTACGCACATGTAGCTATCCCAAAGATAAGAGACGCAGGATTAAGAATGTATTACGTATACCTTCTCAGCAAAAAATACAGTAATCTTAAAAATTCAATATACAGGGTGAGGCATTTAATACTGTTTTTCAGAATATTTGGAAAAATACAAATCGGATTAAAAAAAAGTTGCAATAAAAGTTGTTCACCTCGAAGAGGGTTATCCATTAACATAAAGCTCGACCCCCCTGCACTACCCCCGGGGGCGGGAGGGGGGTGACTTTGAAATCTTAAATAGAAACCCCTATTTTTTATTGCAGATTTGGATTCTCCGTGAAAAAATATGTAACTTTTGTATGAAACATTTTTTTCGTTTCATGATAGATGGCGCTGTAATCGGCGAAAATGAAAATGAGTTGAAAATTGTTGAAAAATGGTAATATCTCAAAAAAATACACATCAGATTAGGAAAATCAAAGTAAATTTTTTTATATTTTTGAAAATGCTATCATGTGACACCGTCTAGCCTCCTGCAATGCATTCTTAGACTACTTTTAGCTTTACCGAGGAACAACGACGTGGACGTAGAAGTAATTTGTTCCCTTCGGGGTGCTTGATTACTGTGAGTCCCCTTGCCTCTCACAAGTGTTTCATTGAAGCAAATGTTCGAAAAGCAAAGTGGTCAGACTGTTCATTTTACTTCAATGATTCGGACTGTAAACGTCTCTTCTCAATTGTTCCAGGATGTTAACGATTGTAGAGAGAGTAGATATCATTTCCTCGTACTTTGAGGCTCATAGAAATGTTGAAGAAGCTCGTCAAACGTATGCTAATCTGTTCCCTGATAGGAATGTTCCTTCTGCAACGACTTTTCGCAGTATTGTCCAACTGTTTACTGAAACTGGAAGTGTTAAACCTAGAGAAAGAGTCCGACCGCGGCCTGTGACAAACGAAAATAACACAGTGAATGTTTTAGCTGCAGTTGCTGCAAATCCTCACATTAGTTCTAGGCAAATTACGCGAGGTTCAGGAATTTCTCAAAGAAGTGTTCTACGCATACTGCTAAGTCTAAAAATGCATTGCAGGAGGGTAGACGGTGTCACATGATAGCATTTTCAAAAATATAAAAAAATGTACTTTGATGTTCCTAATCTGATGTGTATTTTTTTGAGATATTACCATTTTTCAACAATTTTCAACTCATTTTTATTTTTGCCAAATACAGCGCCATCTATCATGAAACGAAAAAAATGTCTCATACAAAAGTTACATATTTTTTCACGGAGAATCCAAATCTGCAATAAAAAATAGGGGTTTCTATTTAAGATTTCAAAGTCACCCCCCTCCCGCCCCTGGGGGTGGTGCAAGGGGGTCGAGCTTTATGTTAATGGATGACCCTCTTCGAGGTGAACAACGTTTATTACAACTTTTTTTTAATCCGATTTGTATTTTTCCAAATATTCTGAAAAACAGTTGCCTCACCCTGTATATCGGTTGTATGCATACTTTAACGGCTGGCTATTATTGAATATTATAACAAAGATGTTAATGTCACTGATTTAAATAACTTCAACCTCTTTTTATAATTATTGACAGCGTATTTATAAATATTCTTAATAGCAGTTAAAAACTTTTGGCTGTGAATTTGCCTAGAATCCGACTGCTAAAACAAAAAATCTGACATATGTAATCTGCATGTAGACAGAAAGTGTTGGTCGTATACATATAGTCAAAAATATCACACAATAGCATAAAATATTATTTTAAAATGCAAATAATACGCTAAAAATTAAAAACAATTTTTTAATGTAAATAATACAAGAAGATATGGCAACACCGCATTGACTGTTGGCTGCAGTGAACTGCCAAGCAACCCCCCTAGTAGCACAGTGCATTGGGCAAACATTGGTTAAACATTGGCCCAATATAACCAAATATTGGGCCAATGTTTATCCAATGCACTGTGCTACTAGGGCCGCGACGGTGGTCCGACATAATCACATAGCCTAAGACAGCTGTCATCATTCAAAAGTAAAAATGTATATATAGTAGTATAGAAAAGTATAGAAAATTATAGATTTGCAGTACTGCGAGTGAATATCGGAACGCAGCCTGTACTGCTATATGTATACATATATTTACATATACAACGCGTAGTGCGACGTTGCCACGTCTTTAGAGTCTAATGTCAAAATCTGTGAGATTGCTGCAGTTTGCTTTTTCTTCTCAAAAACGAGTAAGTGAATTATTATAAAATTTTTCATAAACTTGTGCCAATGTATTTTCTA